GCGTCTAACTGGCGAGTCTGGTGGGGGGGTTGGGGTGGGGGGGAGGGAGGAGGCAGGGAAGGGGAGATGGGGGGCGCAGATTGAGGCCCTCATGGTGAGGGCGGTAGTGGGGCTGGGGCAAACGCTGCCCAGCTGGGGCGAGCTGTGGAAGGGGGGCAGCTCCTGCTGCTGCGCGCACCCCCAGGGAAGGCATGGGGGGCACATGCCCCAGATCTGCGCACAAGGTGGAGGCAGACTGCCACTGTGGCCTGTGCTGGACTCTTCCCAGTGAGGGGGTTGGGCTAGGGCTGTGCTTGGGGCATAGCAGGCGGCGGTAGTGACACTGGGAGGGGAGTTTGGGCAGGGAGGGGAGGTTACGGTAAATTTTGCGGTGGCTTAAGCCCACACCATAGCCCCCCTCCTAGCGCCGCCACTACTTGCCCCAAGTGTAGCCCTGGCCCAGGAAGAGCCTCACACCACCTGCAGCCCCAGCTTACAGCAGGCAGCCCATCCTTGCCCTGCGTGCAATCTGGGGGGCACATGCACCCCATGCCTTCCTTCGGGGTACATGTAGCAGCAGGAACCACCCCTCCCCACCCCTGGACAAGCCATTCACAACTGTACCACACCCCACTCTGCCCCAGCTGGGCAGCACCTGCCCCTGGCCCCACTCCCTCCCTCCCTCAATGCAGGGGCCTCAATCTGTACCCACCCCCCCCATGCCTCTTCCCCCTTAACAGACTTACCAGCTGGACACTTCTCTCCAAGCTGCTGGGCTGCATTCCTTACCCTATGAATGGTGCAGCTGCATGCATGCACACAACGTTTATTGGCAACATTATCAGCCACATCAGCAAAAAAGCTGACTGCCAATAATGCCAATTTTCCTTTTATTGGTGCCAATACGATATGGACCAATGTATCAATGAACTTCTAATGATGTACATTTTACAAAAGACTTTCAAAATGCCCAAGCAAATTTATCATACGACTCCAACAAGGTTCTTGAAAGTGTCACTCTTTAAATATCTGTTTGATCTATTTAGTTATCAAGAAACCTTACCTCATTTTTATTACCCATGTCAAGACCAAGATCATTCATCTCTTTCTCTAGCATCTTCCGCTGGACCTAAAAATAGAGGGAATTAAGAGCAGATGCTTATTTTAAAAGATGATTCCATACAGTTTTCTCTTAATCAACAGCAGGCCCATGTAAACACAGTATGCCCTCTTTCCCCTACATATGGACATCAGATACACATGATATGGTGCAAAATCATGCAATGAATTAACTTACCATGTATTTCTGATCATTTCACTAGCTCAGTACCTACTATTCCATCTTCACAGGACTCATCTTAACAGTTCAAACTCTAAAGCAAGTTCAAACAGTTGCCATACTTAAACAATATAGCCACCCTATAACAAATATTTATTTCTTTCCTAAAAGGTGTAATTTCACTTCCCCAAAATTACAGACAGCAAGATTCAGCCCCCAGGTAAGTTTTCAAAAAAAAAATCAAAAAAAAAAAAAAAAAAAAATCACAGCTTTACAATTCAGTATCTTAAAACCCAGAGGGTTACAAACAAGGGCTCTATACAGTTGGAAACGAAGATTCCCAGCATCCCAAAGGGAACTAGCAATGACTCCCTGCCACCCCAAAAAATCTTCACATTCGTGACACTTATAAAAACACTGTTTCTCAGTATTTGTTTCTCGCTACTTCTCAAGTTAGTCTGGTTGCTGCCTCTCCTCATTTCTACCTTTCTTTTCCTGCCAATACAGCAATTATTCATTGCTTAAATTGCAATTTACATATTATATATGAATGAGACTTTATTAGAGATGGTACTCTATACTTGCCTTCCTAGCTGTTCTAGGCATCCTTGGACCCTGTGTATTTTTCTCCTTAGATGCTAGAATTTTCAGCTTCTTTTTTTCTCGAATCTGTTGCGCCAGCTGTCTGATTTCCATCATTTCTTCATCTTCGCTTTCTGGTTCACTGTCATATTCCCCAGCAGCTCGTCTCAGCTCTTCTTCTTTCTCCAGCTCTTCCAGTCTCTTACAATTTAAAGAAACAAAAAGAAAGAGAAGTTCTTCACATTAGGATCAGAAACACCTTCCACTTCAGTTTGCACTGTTAGAGGGAAATCATTGCAACCTTATGATCAGGCCATTCATACGCAGAAAGTTCAAATTCAGTCCTATGGTTTAGAGTGCCTAAGCAGAGGGAAAACATTCCCATCGTTGAAGAGAGCAGATCAAGCCATCATGTAACAATCCTCTAAAGAGCTGCACTGTGTTTCTTCCAAGACTACATTAACATTTTTAAAAGATAAAAAGTTTCTTTAAATGGGTTAAGAATAATTTGTTAATAGATATATATGGAGGAAAAAAAAAACAAAGTTTCATAAAGTTTATACATGTCAATGCAAACATACTTCTTGAACCCAGAAGTTAGTAAACTAAATCTAATAGAAAAAAGAATAGAATATGTTAGAAAGTGTAGGATAAAACAATGTAAAGCTCACCTTCATTATATCAGGGTCTATATAGTCAGCTATATTATGACCTTCCCAGATCTCTGGTATCCTATCATATTTTTCAGATGGATTCATTAGGTCCCAATATTCTAGGGAAAAAAAGCAGCAGAAATTAGCCATTTTTTTTTTTTTACAAGTTAAAATATCTTAAAGAAAAAAAATGGCCTTGCAATGATCTCTAACATGCACACTCTTCTGAGTGATGATAATGCAGGGGCAAGATAACTCACTTGGTATTGATTGGAGTCAAGCACGATTTTGTGTGTTATTAAGATATTTATCACACAAGAGAAAAAGAAAACCAAATAAACCCTGAATCAAGTTCATCACAGTGATTCTAAAAACAGGAAGCACAACAAAGAGGGAAAGTGCAGGAAGCCACATTAAGAATAAAAAATTGGGGAAATCATCTGATAACATCTAATTAAATATTAATAAAGATGCTTACAGGGAAAAAGTTAGGATAATTAGGGTGAGATTTTTTCTCTTGAAATCTGCCGAAAGGCATTCTTTTGGTTCAATTTCACTTTTAATTATACTGAGACTTGTATGATACTTACTTTGTAGATCTAAAATATAATCATCTCCCATTTCCACTTCAAGATCCCTTTCCTGCAAAGGCACATACGGTATAAATAATATAAAATTTTCCAGGTACCTAATATACTATATAATATAGTATTTGACTATTCCACTATTTATTTCTCCAATTCAGAAATGTCAGATATATTCTGAAAGCCACTTACGGTTTTCTTTTTAGGTAAATCTACTTCCATTTGTTTCTTCCGTGTTACTGCTCCCTCAGGAATGAAAGGTGGCCTTTCCTGAAATCAGTGCAAGATGTTTGATTGCAAAAGCCTCCAATCCCCTTTTATTTTTAATGTTTTAAGTCAGCAACCCAAAGGTGCAGTAATGCAAACAGAATATCATCGCTACATGTTCCTCAGTGATAAGAGTTCTGAATTCACTCATCATTTCAGCAAACAAAATCATGGATTCAAACAAAATGCACCTCAACATAAATCTGATCGTACTTCAAGTCAGCAGAGATTTTCATAATATTTATATTTCAAATAATATGGAAAAAGGTATAAAAAGAAGTGCTAATGATGACACAACTTACCTTGTGATCTCTTTTGGATGGCACAGCAAGATGTAATCGATTCAGCACTTCAGTCACTTTATTTCCTTTCATTTTGGTTTCAACCCGATGGGCCAGTAGTCTGTCACAAGCCTAAAGGAAAAATAGAAAGTAGCATTAAGGAGGGAGAGAACTTCCAGATAAAAAGGAGATTAAGAAACTGTCCTTCAAGCTGTGGACACCTATCTTCATATACAACACTTTGTTGCTTTTTTACTTAAAATACTGATATTGGGTGCTTAAAAAAAGTCAGGAATAGATCTGTAATAATTCACAGATCTAGACTTCAGATTTAATTGGAAGAGAAATCAATCACTAACATCAAGAGCCTACAACCAACATAAGGGGGAAATAACCAGCAAGATTTGTACAAAGATCTCTCTTCAGTCTGTCTGCTGCATTTGGGGACAAGCAAAAGGAAATCTGTATTTATGGTCAATTCCAATTCTTTTTTAAAGGACACTTGAAAAAAAATTCTGCCAAGTGTAAGACTATGAATTGCAATAAAGTATCTGGTTGTCACATTCGTTCAATTTCAAATTGAAACATGGAAACAGCTTCCAACATAAGACTTGAGTAACGTTTCATGAGTGTGTAAACAGTTTCCAGAAAAACAACTACCTTCAATTTTATTTTTAGATGTACCCATGGCCTACTCTAAGAGAACATCTGTTCATTAAGGTGAACCATTTAGAATATGTTCTTCTAAGCTGCAGACAATTCTCAACTTGCTGAGAATAGCAGTGCTGAATTAATGAATTTATCTTTTTGTCAGCTAAATCTATGATAAAATCTGAAGTATGTTAACCTTCCAAGCATATTGTTTCTGTGCATTATTTTGAGAAATAACAACATTATCTGAACAGAAATTAAAAACAGCCATTGTAGAAAACAGTGGAGAGGCTCCTTCAGAGAACACAGCAATTTTACAAGGATTAGGTACATCCATTAGCATTTTCCAGCAGTGACTTTTCAGTCTATTCTGCATCAAGATCCACTTTCTGGGTTTTCATTGTAATTTGCATAGTCTTTTGCCATCTTTGAAATAATTATCTACAATTCATTTTACTTCTACTACACTCTTCTGAATTAAGACTGTGCAGCTAGTATTGCTCCATGGTTTTCAAAAGACATTTCTTAAAGCTGTCCTCATAAGCAAAACTATTAAAAAATTAAGTCAGAAGTAAAAATAACAACATTTGTTTGTCTAATTCTAATTGCCATGCATCTATGTCAGACACAGAAACAACAACAATAATTTTGCTTATATGACAATCTCATTTCAAAGAGGGGCCCAGAATATGGAATCCAAGAGTGCCAGAAATCTCAGAAACAACAACAACAACAAATGGCTGCCTGGCTTGATGCAGTACAGCCATGTATTGGCTGACAAAGAAAAGGATAAAGTTAGATCCATATCAGGGGCATTTGTACACACAGAAGCACCACAGTGCCCAGCGCTGCTGCATCACTTGTAGTTGTATAAGTGGCAAAATGCATGTCAGAATGCAGAAAATGGCAGAGGTCTGCTTTTGAACTAAAACACATAGGTGTTTTAGTTCAAAAGCGCACCGCTGCCATTTTCTACACACTAACACACATTTCGCCGCTTATACAACTGCAAGCAATGCAGCACCGTGCATGTCAGCTTGTGTGCAGAGAAGACTCGATTAACTGAGTCTGCTTCAATGACACGCTGAACACAGAAATGTATGTCTATCTATATGCAAAAGAAGAGAAGAAACTCACCTCTGTTTTAACTTTAATTACCCCTTCTTCTGTTAGAGTACTTGTTTCTATTACAGGAAAGCCTTCTGCTTCTAAATTTTCAAAAATATCCTGAAATATAAGTATTAAGCTAATATTAACATGGGGGTGGCTTATTTCTTAAAGAGCGCTGCTTCCACATTACATTTCCAATTGCATGTCAATGTTCAAAATTCTTCTGTCACTCATAGCTGAGAAATATTGTTAACAATGTTTTCCTAAAAAGATGGACAGAAACTTGATCAATGTTAATTGCTACTGTTTAAATACTTTACGGAGATGAAATATAGCTTCTCAGAGAGGCAAAATTTAAATCATACATTCTCACTGTATATGTGGTTGGAACTTGTGAAATTCAGGCCCAGATGTAAGTACATGAAAAGACCCCCAAACTTTCATATATGCACCCTAAAATTTATTAGGCAGTGTATAGAGTTGGGGAAAGTGTCAGTACCGCTGTGTAAAACAATCACAAGAATCTGTTTAGAATAGTTCTGGCTACCTATGTTCAAAAACAAATTTAAACTGGAACAAATGCTGAGGAGAGCTGGGACGATGTTTAGGAAAACAGCAAACCTATGAGTGGAGACTAAAAGAGCTTCACTCATCTAGCTTAAACAAAAAGGCTGAGAAGGGATATGAATATTCTTTAAAAATACACTTGTAAAGTGAATAGCAGAAAAGGAGGAAAGCTGTTTAGGTTAAACAGCAAAGCTGGTACAAGATCAAATGGATGCAGACTGGTAGCAAACATTTATACTGGGAGTTAGAAGACCATTTCAAACCATTAAAAGATGGAAGTTCTGAAATGTCCTTCCAAACAAAACAGTGGGAGCAGGGAACCTAAATTATTCCAAAAAGGGAAAATTTACTGGATGGATTACAGAGGGATATTCTGGGAGTAGTAATCTAAGCACGTGATGTGTGGTTTGAGTTGTTAGTAATCCCATGAAAAGACTGAAACAAACTTGATTTCTCTGTGCATAGATTGTATATGTGGGAAGCGGCTGGTTATCAGCAGACCATCTGCTGGTTGCCTTGAGCAAATGGGAAATTTCCCCCCCTTTGAATATGCTATTTGGCACCTGTTTTTTCATGAGATTTTTTTCCCCTTTTTCATTTCTTTGAAGGATACAGGCCATGGCTAGAAGTTTGAGATAGAACTACCTGAAAATCTAGTACTTGGTTGGTGGGTCTTGTCTATCTGCCCATGGTCAAACCAGCCAGCAGGTATAGAATCAAGAAGTAATTTCCTCCCAAATCAAATTGGCAAGGACTTTTTTCCTCCTTTATATATATAGCATGTTTACATGGACCTAAGATCACCTGAGCATTTTTACCCACTCTACTTCCTGCCATTGCAATGACCACAGAATCACAGGAAAAAAAAGACTAGAAGGAACCTCAAGAGGTCACCTAGTCCAATGTCACCCCTGTCTAAACCACTCCAGATAACTGTTTGTCTAGCCTATTCTTAAAAACTTCCAAGATTATGGCCCGAGAGGCTCCTTCCAGCTCTGTTTCCAAAATACAGAAGAAAAAGAAAAGAGCTTTCTCACCTTGTTTTCCTCAGGAAGTTCTGAGATCCTCTTCACATCACACTTGTTCGCTACAACTATAAGTGGCTAATAAAAAGAAAGTAATTAGTGTTAAACTGATTTCTCACATAATAAAAAATTAGATTTGAACGGTATTGTAGATCAGTTCTACCTTGTTAGCAAAAAGTGGTTTAATATTTCTGAAGAGTTCTAGTTGCTCCTCCAGGCTATGTCCACACTGCTCAGACACATCCATTACATACAGCACAGCAGCACGAAGATGCGCAAGTGCTGTTATAGCCTGCATCTCAATGGTGTTCCTTTCTTCCAAAGGATGATCCAAAATACCAGGAGTATCCACCACCTAAAATTCAGATAAATTTAATTAACTTAGGTCTTAATATAACATGACTACCCATAAAAGAAGATCTTGAGAATTAAAGATAAAGGAAAGAAAAGGAATATGGACTGATCAATCTTTCACAGCATGTGCTTGCTTTCTGATCAGGAAAAAAAAAAAAGTGACAGAGACAATATCAATCACACATGCATACTTCCATTCTAGCCAAGAAAAAAAAAGGGCCATGAAGATTATAAATTCAGTCAAAGTAAGAGAGTGAGAGTGGAATGACAAAAAATTCAGTATTAAATTAGAATGAGAAGAGTACTTCATTTCACAGCAAGATAAGACTAATAAAACAATGAGTGCTTGTACTTGGTGAATACAACCAGCTATTATAATGCATTTTTGTGTGAACTGAATCACAGTTTCATAGCTGGTAGGGTTGGAAGGGACCTGAGCAGAACATCAAGTCCAACCCCCTGCCACAGGCAGGAAAGAGTACTGGGGTCAGACAACCCCAGCAAGGTGTCTATCTAGCCTCCTCTTAAAGACCCCCAGGGTAGAAGCGAGCCCCACTTCCCTTGGAAGTTGGTTCCAGATCCTAGCCACCCTGACTGTGAAGTAGCGCCTCCTGATATCCAGCCTGAATCTGCTCTGTCAGCTTATGGCTGCTGTTCCTTGTTACTCCCAGTAGTGCTTGGGGGAACAGGGACTCTCCCACTGCCTGGTGGTCTCCCTTGGCCGGTTTATAGATGGCCACCAGATCCCTTCTCAGCCTTCTCTTGTGGAGGCTGAACAGGTTCAGATCCCATAGCCTATCCTCATAGGACCTGCTGCCCCCTGATCATGCGAGTGGCCCTCCTCTGGACCCTCTCAATGTTGTCCACATCCCTCCTGAAGTGCGGCGCCCAGTACTGGACGCAGTACTCCAACTGGGGCCTGACCAAGGTCGCATAGAGGGGGAGGATCACCTCCTTGGAGCTGCTCATGATGCATCTGTGGATGCATGACAGGGTGAGGTTAGCCTTTCTGACTGCATCCCTACATTGGCAGCCCATGTTCATCTTTGAGTCAATAATGACTCCAAGATCCTTTTCTGCCTCTGTGCTGGCGAGAGGGGAGTTCCCCAGCCCGTAGGTATGCTGCTGGTTCTTCCTCCCCAGGTGCAGCACCTTGTACTTGTCAGTGTTGAAACCCATCCTGTTCTCATCTGCCCACCCCTGTAACCTGTCCAGATCTGATTGCAGCTTGTCCCTCCCCTCCAGCGTACCCACCTCCCCCCACATCTTCGTGTCATCTGCGAATTTGAACAAGGTGCTATTCACCCCCTGACTGCTATTCAATCAGAAAGTCAAGAGACTGGCCCTGATCTGATTCACATAATTTTAGAGATGAGTTATCTATGGCTACTGATGAATTACCCAAGTTCCCTGACCTTCCCAGAAACAGGAATACCCCAGTATGTTCATTTTTAGAATAGCTTCTGCCCACTGAGAGCTTCTGCCCACTGACTGCGTCTAGTCCAATATGTTGCTCAGCAGTCCTTTGGGTAAAATTAACTGGTAACTGTAATCAACAAAGCTAAATTCAATTCACAATTCAAAATTGAACAGCAGGATCCTCATGATTTGTTTCCTGTGGAACAAGAGCTGTAAACAGTAATAAATCTTACCTGCCAACGCAGATACTTATAATCCATATGTCCTACAAAGAGGGATTTGGTAGTAAAGGCATAAGGCTGTACTTCTACATCTGCTCTTGTCACCTTAAAATAAAAAAAATAGAATTATTTTTGTGTGTTTAATGTAGGGATGTCACAGAGAAAGCACATGGGCTGGATGCAGCCTATGGAGCTGTATCATCTGGCCCATAAGGCTGCCCCTGAGTCTGGAAATTTGGTGGAAGGACAACCAGCAGCAGTGTTAACTGCTGTGGCTCCCACAGCCATGGCAGTCAGCAGGTGTCACTCATCTTACTATGTAATTTCCTGCCCCTGGGCAACCCTATGGGCTGGATTTCAAATGCAGAGCTATGTCATCTTACCCCCAAGGCTGGAAATTTGGTGGCAGAGCAAGCAGTGGCAGTGTTAGTCACCAAGGCTTGTCTCGCCACCAAATTTCTAAACATCCTTATACGGGCTGGATCCACAGTTGCAAAACCATGTAATCTGGCCTGCAGTGCTGCCCATGGGCCACAACCCAGCTTTGTACTCTGGATCCAGCCTGCAGGGCTGCCCAGGAGTCAGAAATCAACTGGTGGGACAAGTAACCACTGCAATTAATGCTGCCACCACTTGCCCCACCACCAAATTTCTGTCCCCACAGGCCAAATGATACAGCTCTGTGCTCCAGATAAGTCTGGCACCCTTGGTTCAATGAGAAGATGTTGCTACTTGACATGCACTATGACCTCAGCATCATACATTTTATTTGCTATCAGGTTTTTTGTTTTTGTTTTTTTAACTGTGATAGAAACTTTCCTCTGCTAGACAAGTTGATGATACACTAACTTACATTATTTAAAAACAACTTAAAAGAATAAAAAAAAAAAAATAAAAAAAAAGAAATCCACTTCTAACGTTCTTCTAGAAGCCAGAGAATCCCACAAAAGCCCTAGTCCTATATTCAGATCTCCATCTCAAACTCTTATGTGCTACATGAAGATTCCCAAAGACTTGATCTTTTTGAATTATTCTTAATTAAAAGATATTCTGGTATTTATTTTAACAGGAACCATTTTGCAAACCTTATTTATAAAGCTGGACTTTCCAACATTTGGGTAGCCACACAACAGTAGAGTTCGTGTATTTGGATCAATGGTTGGTAAACGGGACAAATGCTGTCGCACTGAAAAGTTAGAAAATTTACTGAATTATACAAGATAATTAGCGTTTAAGTACAGACTAAGCAGAAGAGAAATATCTTTACAGACAGGAAAGCTAATAATTTTATCCTTTTACATTCTACTGTGAAGTGTTACAAACATTAATTACGTTGAGGAGAAATAGTCACCAGTAGATCAGAACATGCCACCTATGGAGCACTTTGACTTCTTTCATTAACCCTCAGGTGAACTGTTTGTAAATATAGCTTCATTAAAATTTTACTTTCAATGTTATTTTAAATTAACATTTTGCTACCTTAAACAGAAACAATGTAGCCATTACACAACAAAGGCTATGGAGAGGAAGAATTCTTGAAAAATATTTGGCACTGGTTTTCTTCGACATGGGGAAGTGATGCAGATAAAAATCTCCTGCAACACTGCCAAAGTAAATAAAATAAAATAGGAAAAAATGCACTCAATTAACTTGATTAACTGTGAATACAATGTTCAAGATACTTAACTAACATCCAGTCAGTTTCAAATTTAAGTTAGAAATACTTTAAGGTACTATCATTTTCCTTGGGGCTCCAGTGCCAGTCATATTTTCTTGGTTTTTAAAACTATCTCCTGTTGCTGTGTGAAAGACTCAAGTACATGAATCTGACAGATTACCCAAGAGAAACAGTGAGATTTATAATCTAGACTTTTTTTTCCCTTTAATCTCTTTTACTTAATATATTTTAGGTGCTATCTGTAACAAGGGAAGATTTCAAACTCAGTGTGAACTTTAAGTGCTCTCTGCACAATTAAAAGTGCACTGATATATTGGTCCACATCAGATCGGTATTGATAAAAAGGAAAATTGACATTATTGGCAATTGCCTTTTTCTGGCCAGTGTAGTCGATAATAACACTGATAAATGCCGTGTGCATGCACGCAGCCGCAGCATGCATGTGGCCAGGAATGCAGACGGGCAGTGTGGAGAGTAGCTTCTGGCTGGTAAGTTTGTGGGCGAAAGAGGTGGGGGGCAGGGAAGGGGTAGGAGGGGCAGATCAAGGTCCCCACAGTGAGGGAGGGAGTGGGGCTGGCGCAGGTGCTGCCCAGTCAGGGCGGTGCACAGGACAGAGCCATGAGCAGCTTGTCCAGGGGGCGCAGCTCCCATCTCTATGTGCACCCCCAGCAGAGGTGTGGGGGGCCTGTGTCCCCCAGATTTGTGTGCAGGGCAAAGACAGGCTGCCTGCTGTGGGATCAAGGCCAGGGGCTGCGCTGGGGGGCTGGACTGGGGCAGGATACAGCCCAAAATTCACCATGGCACCCTGCAGACCCCCCCTCCCAGTGCCACCACTGCCCGCCTCACCCCCACTGGGAAGAGGCTGGCACAGCCGCTGGCCCCAAGTCTACAGCAGGCAGCCCTCCATCACCCCACGCACAAATCAAGGAGGGACATGTCCCCCATGCCTCACCCAGGGGTGCACACAGTGACAGGGAGCTGCCTCTCCCTCCGCATGAGGTGCCCCTGGCTCTGTCCTTCACCCCGCCCCAACAGGGCATCACCTGCCCCTGCCCCAGCCCCACTCCCTCCCTCCCTCACTGTGGGGGCCTCAATCTGCCCCCGACACACATTTCCCCTCCACAGACTTATTGGCCAAATGCTGCTCCCCAAGATGCCAGGCTGCATATTGGCTACCAGATCAGTATCAGCCAATAAGGCTGGTTAATAATTGGCCATCGGTATCAGCCAAAAAACAAAAATCTTTGTTGGTGCACCCCTATTCACAATGCTTCAGTTTAGCATATTTCAATACACACCTTGCTCCAAATATTCCAAACTTTGTTTTTGTCTTTTGATAATCGTGCACATCCGTCCCAAAGCAGCACGTTTCAGTTGTTTGCAGCGGTAAAGGGAATCACCATATTTCATTAGTCGCACATAATCCTTGGCAACGCTGCAGGGGAAGGGAGGAAAAGGTCAATCTGCTATTATCATACTGACAGAGGGAAAAAAAAGAAAATAAATGCATCTTACTTGTCAATCAGATTCTTGGCAATATTAATCTGTCCTAATGCCAATTTATAATGATCTTTGTCATAGAGAACATTCATCAAATCTGCATAAAAGGGATGGATATCCTAAAAAGTACAGAACAAAAAAATAATTAATCAAAACATTTTGGAATGTTTTCCTTCTTGAACAGAGAATCTTAAGCAACTACAAATGTTAATTTTTTCCTAGATACAAGAAATACACTAGTGTAGTTGGTAAGTACAAACTGAAAGCTGTTTTCTAGATTTAAAAAACTCTAGTGAAAACCTGCTGTCCAGAACGTGTAAATTAATCCTAATTTTGAATTCTTGCTTTATAGAATCTCATCAGACTGATTAACACAAAACTAAGCTTCTGTATTCGTCTTCAGTTTTATAATAGTTTGTGTTAAGGGGAAAAAAGAGATATTATAAAAAAAGGAAAATACAAGCATTCTGTGTAGCAGTAGACTTTTTTTGTAAAAACATATTGCTTTATGTAGAAATACAGCAAGAAGGCAAACCTTTGCTTTTACTCAGTGATCTCATTTCTTCATGATGTTGTAAAAATGGGGGTTTTATGCTCACGCAAACCCTTCTGCCCATCACAAATGTAGCTTCTTCACGTCAATTGTATTTCAAGAGAGTTTAAAGCATGCCACGATCAGTATATAAAAGAATCTCAGAAAGGCTATTTTAACTCCATATACGCTTTACTTTTAAAGCAACGCATTTTAAATTCCTTGGACTAACCATCACAGAAGATGCTACATCAGAAAAAGAAGTAAAAACAAAAATAGCCATCATCATTGGACAACTAGTAAAGCTGATGAAAATCTGGACTAGTAACAACTTCACTATGAAAACAAAATTCCACCTACTATATGCTGCTGTCATTTCAACAATGCTCTATGGCTGCGAGACCTAGACACTCACTAGGGCACTGAAAAAGCAAATTGAGACCTTTGAAATGCGGTACTTTGGAAGACTTCTACACATACCCTACACTGCATACAGAACAAATAAATCTGTGAAAGATCAAATCAGACAAGAAGTCGACAAACACAAACCCTTACTAGAAATCATAAGAAGTAAGAGGCAGTGGTTTGAACACTTAACAGGAAGGCCTGGTAATCTTGCCAACACCATCCTGCACGGTGCTGCGGATGGATGAAGAAGAGGATACCTAGGACAAGCTGGACCACCAACATCAAAGTCTGGGATTAAAACTGACTGATTGTACAGATTGCAAAAGACCAGGAAGAACAGAGGAAAGTTATTGCTACATCAAAGGTGCCCCAATGGTCAATGTGGCCTCGGGACTAACTGACTGACCAATACTTTTAAGAAGCTTGACCCTGTGACAGTATCCAACGCAAACCAAATAGGGAAGATGTATTTTGAAATGTTGCAGTGGAATACATGATTAGAAATAAAAACAAATCCAGAAAAGACCGTCCTAATACAAATTACATTCACAATTCTATAGCTGGATAAGTACAGGTAGATCACTCGCTGTACACAAACTCCTACTTAAATGACTAATGTTCCTATTGAAGGACAAAGCATTAATCTAAGCATCATGGACAGGATCATACTTTTGTTAATGCTTTTACAGCACTGAGTATGCTACTGGTGCTTTAGAAGCAAGCTTCTTAAGACAAATTACTGTATGTGGGGACAATTCATACCTATCTTCAGATATTCATGCTTTCTACTAAATATATGAGTGGCAGTAAGTATCACAAAAGTAATACTGTTTATGGAGCACCTTTCAGCTAGAAGTAGAAAGCCACAACACTGACCTTTTGGCAAACTTCATTTGTATTCACACCATTCAGCAGCAATTTCAGTCAAGGGTGAGGACACACCTAACAAATGAATGTTTCCCAAATGTCACTTACTGGTAGATGATTTATAGCTATGTAAAGTGTTGTGACTGAAGAGCAAGCACCCAGGTCAGCATGCCTTGTAGTGAGCAAGTGGGGGGCAGCAGGGGGAACAGTACTTGCACCCCTGCTTTTGTGGGTGGTCCCAGGGAGGTGGGTAACCTGCAATGGAGGCATTTTCACTTCTCTGCTTTCTCTGTACTCTGAACAAGCGAATTCAATAAACTTCAATAATCTGTAGTTGACTAAAGTCTGCAGTGTAGTTGCCTGACTGGGCTGGAGGGGGTTTGGGAAATGGCATGATAAGGAACTGCGGTTGAGTACAGAGTTAGGACACAGTGGGTTGTCAGGATGACTTTTATTGATCAGTGATCTTCCTTGTTCAATAATGTTGACCAAAGCTGGAGTAAAAAGAAGGGGACAGTAGAGTTCTGGTGTGTAACAGAGCAATTGGTTGAAGGTGTAGGGGGTGGGGGGTGAAAGGAGGAGGTGAGGTATGGTGCTGTGTGGGATGCCTGGAGGATTGACTAGACTTGTCAGAGAATGCTGACTGTACATGCGTAACACTGGACCTGTTCACAAGGAACTGGTTCAAAACAGTACCTGATTTTCCAGGTGCACTTTTGAACCGTTTCAGGAGGCTTTAACTCAGGTATGGACAAAATGCAGTCCGTGGGCCAGATGCAGCCCACCAGACCATTCTATCCAGCCCGCGGGGCCCCTAAAAAATTTAGAAAAGTCAATATTTATCTGCCCCCGGCTGCCTGTCATGCAGCCCTTGATGGCTTGCCAAAACTCAGTAAGCAGCCCTCTGCCCAAAATCATTGCCCACCCCTGCTTTAACAGGCCTGTACGTGTGTCTACTTAAGGTTTAAACTGTTCTGTTATGCATGTCCATATCCAAACTGAAACTTCCCTAGAAACTACAGGTTTCCCTCGCTTTATGCTGTACATGCATTCCTGGAAAATGGCACCTACCTCAAATTTGCATAAAGGGAACCCACTTTACAACGTAACAAATAGGGATAAGTTCCAAGACCTCGACTGTACTGACCCCCAGACCCATCTCGACCACTTTTACAGGACAATTTTGGTACTCACCAACCGCAGACAGTGCACACACGCATACGGTGGTGGTGAATGTTTAGCCGGTATGAAGAGAGGGTGGTGAAGGCTTCATTGATAGACCAGGGACAGGGGTAGGAGATAAGCTAGCGAGACGCTTATAAACCATAATGGGGATGGCAACTATAGAAACGTGTTACAGACAACGAGCAAAGAGCACAGACCCACACAGGAGACTTGGTGCACGTCACTCCCACAACGCACCACACAAAAGCAGCTGAATACAGGCTTCCACCACACCAATCGCATAAAAGAGTGAATTTACCATGCATATAACAAATTTTTGGTATTTGTAGATTGTAAGGCAGGAAGGGACCTTGGAAGATCATTGGGTCCAGCCCCCCGCACCAGGCAGGAAAGATAACAGGAGTCAGGTGACCCCAGCGAGGTAACTGTCCAGTCTCCTCTTGAAAATTTCCAGGGTAGGCGATTGCACCAACTCTGGAGGGAGCTTATTCCAGTCTGGACACCCTGACTGTGAAGACGTTTTTCCTAACATTGAGCCTGAACCGGCCTTCCAGAAGTTTGTGGCCGTTACTCCTAGTCTTCCCCTCGGGTGCCCCAGGGCCATCGTAAGAGCGAATTTGCACGTACAGAACCCGCATAAAGAAGCCTGTAACTGTTAAATCCCCCAAACTCCTGCAAAACAAACCGTGCCACGTGGACTGCTAAGGACCCCTAGTGGTCACAACCCATTTACTGTCCCATCTGGAAAAAGCTCCTTTTGTAGCACAAGTTTCCTTGGACATTTTTACACATGCATGCACCACAACACCAGGTGCCGTGACGCACGGAGTTGTATAAGTGGCAAAATGCACGTCAGCATGCAGAAAACAGCAGCGGAGGCGCGCTTCTGAACTAAAACACATCCGCGAAAAAGCACATGTATAAATGCCCCCAGCGCCCCGCTGGAACGCAGCTTTGGCAGGCCACTCTCCCGCAGGCACAGACCATCCCTTCGACATCTCCTGGCCCGGCCACGCACGCTCACAACACGACAGCTCCCAGCAGACGCCTGGAGGTAAACATCGTTTAAATGCCCAAACGTCGAAGTCACTCACGTCCAATTTGGGAAAGTCGGTTAAGATCTGGGTGAGGCGGTCGTGGTAATTCTGCTGAGTGTACTTGACTTTCCGCATATAAAACTGGCGAATGCGATGGATCTGGTAATGCTTGTGGATGACGGTCGGAGTTTTCCGCTGCGTCTTGGACAGCGTCAGGTCTATGAAGTCCTGCAAGCAAAGACACGTGAGCACCGGCTGTCCCGTACCAGAGAGGCCCAGGCACGCGGGGCCGGGGCCGGGGCCGGGGCCGACCCCGACCCCGACCCCGACCCCGACCCCGGAGGAGCCTCCACGTGGGCGAGCGCCGCCCCCGGGTCCCCCCGCCCCGCCGCGAACGCTGCGCCCGCCCCACCTTGGCGGACGGAACCACTGTGATCTTCTTAAAGTTGTAGAGCGCCATGGTGCCGCCGCGCACGAGCCGCCCGGCCGGAAGGAAGAGCCCCCTGACGCAGGAGGCCGGCTCTGCAGCCGCGGAAGGGGGGCTGCTCCTGCGCCTGCGCAGCCCTGGCCCCTGGGAGTAAAGCACGTGGTGGACCCGGAGCCTCTCTCTCCTTTCTGCTTCGAGGCTCTTCCCTCCCCACCCGCAGCGCTGGACTGGCACACGGCACCTCCGGCTCTTGGTGTTGGCGTCATTTTCTTGAGGTTGGATGGCAGCGCGTTCTTGTGGTCTCTGCCCCACTGGGATCTGAGCGCCCAGAGTTGGGGCCCGCGCACAATGTCTGGTGCAGCAAAGTTGGTGCTTGAGGATTGCCGGCTCCATGCTGGTGACGTTGGGTTGAGCGAGGATGCTGGTGTTTCTGCCACCATCTTCTCACTGCACGTGGAGGATTTCCCAGAGGCACCGGTGATACCTCTCCAGGCTCTTGAGATGATGGTAGTAAAGTGGCCGGCTGCTTTGAGGGGTGTAAAAATATGCTTGATAGCCATGCAAAGGAAGGCAAGACTCCCACCACAGTCTGTGCCAGTCTGATGTTCCTTCCTGACCCCAAATATCTGCTGATCAGTCTGAGCTGAACAGAGGGGCAAGAAAGAGCCTCTAGCCAGCAACATGTCGGGTTAAGACCCAGCAGCATTCCCTCTAAGCTGTGCGATGTGTGCAGGCGTGCCTGGCAGCACAGCATGAGCGCTCCTGGCAACACGGCATGAGCGCGCCTGCATGGCTGCGCACACCACACAACTTAGAGGGAATGCTGAGACCACTGTTCCCTCTAAGGAGCAGTGGTCTGTGAACGCACTGCTTCGGTCCCTCTTCCCCCTTTCAGTGCGGTCTGCCAGTAAGTGTCCCACAGTAGGTGTCCAGGTGGGAGCGGGCAGGGTTCAGCCAGCAGCCTTCTCCATGCTAACTGCTGCCCAGAGCAGCGTAGTGGAGTGCTGTGGGGTAGCCATGGACCGGACACAGTCAATTGATAGATGGCAATACAACCCTTGTCCTAGCTCTGAGCTTGCCAAACTTGTGAGCCCTTCCCTAATGCAACCAAGAGCCATGGGACGCACAGCTTGCAAGACGTGTATGTGTTCCCCAGGGCAGCGACCTGGGTGCAGAGCCGCCGCTTCAGCAGTTACTTGCTGTTTAATGCCTTCCTGAGATAAATCATCAGTAAGAACTGAAGAAACCAGAAAATCACCCAGCAGAGACAAAGTGTGCTTACTCTCTTTAAAGAATATTTTTGCAAAAATCTTGTTGGCTTAATAAAAGATATCATCTCCAATTGATTAAACTGGAAGGGAGGCACCAGGGCCGGCATGGGACACTTACCAAAGGTAAGCTCCTCGCTCCTCATGCAGGGCAGGCAGCGGCTCCTCCCTGAGGTGAGACAAGGGAGGGATGGAGGTAGGGGGCTGGCATTGGCTCTGCTGGCTTCAGGGAACTGCTCCACTCCGCAGCCCTGACACCATGTGCCTCCCCACTCCCCGAGGCGATGCAGGAGAGCGGAGCAGTGCCCCGGAGCCAGCGGAGCCTGCACCAGCCCCAACCTCACCTCTCCTCGGGGAGGAGCCACTGCCTGCCCTGCATGAGGAGTAAGGAGCTTACCTTCGGTAATTGTCCCATGCCGGCGCCAGTGCCTCCACCTCACTCTGTACCCAGCTCGTCTCTGAGCAGTGCACGGCATTAAGAAGTTGGTGCACAACAAGATTTTTAATTGTGCACGGCCACACACACACGCAGCTTAGCGGGTACCTTGGCTGAGACCAGTAGGAGCACTGGCACAGCCCAGTCAAAATCCTCAGCCTTGGCTGCAGCCAGCACCCAATACTTCTGTAACCCAATGCAGCCAACAACCTGCCAACACCCAATGCCTCTAAGTAAGCTGAAAAAAGAACCGTGACACATGTAGCAGCAGAAGGAGAGAAAAAAATCCCTTCCCAGCCCCATGTGGCAACCAGCAAAGCCTGGACGCATTGGGAAATACCCATAGGAGAGCATGGGCATAACTACTGCTAGATCATCCTTGCCCAATGCCTTTCTAACCTCTACTGGAACACCTCCAAGGATGGCAATTCTACAACTTTCCTAGACCTCTAGTCCACTGCGTTGCTGTCCCAACAGTGGTCACTTATTGGATTACTCATTGCTTAGCCCAACTGGATCCCACGCTGATTAGAAAAGTAGGGTTGTAATACCATATGGATAATGATGGTAATAGTTTTTCCTTCCCCACTCCTTCATCCATGCTACTCTTTTTCTTTTTTTCCCAGTCTTGGTAATTTATGTACAAGTCATTTAAGATCCCTACTGGTAACGTGGGCAGCAATTTATATCTTGCAAATGACACAAGCCATTTGCCAAACCCTACTCATTTTGATATGAAAGGCACTGGTTAAATTGAATTAAGCCTCCCTTCTATTTCATCCTGGAACAGTGGCCTGGAACTGTTAACACCTTATTAAGGCTGGTTATAGTGTAATTCAGAGCCCTGGCAGAAGCAGTAAATCAAGCAGCTGCTTGCCTTTTGTCTGTAAGTAAATTACTTAACCCCTGTCTGTACTAAACAGACTGCTGCACGCTACAAAGTCTCCTTTAGTCTCTGGGGGAGGCTGCAGGGAGGGCTTGGTCAAGCTTTAAATGCAGAGGCAGCAGTATTTGGTGCTTTTCCCGTGACAAAGGAATTCATCCCACAGCTGAGCAAACTAAGCCTGCTGCTCCCATCCAGCAGGGGGCTCCTGGGTTTACAGGATTAGCCAACAACTGGGTATGTCAGCCAGTTTTCTAGTCGCTGTAGTCCAAACAGCATAAGGAAGGCTTTCTTGGCAAATTTCCACTAGCCCAACTTTCCAAACACAGGGGAGGTTTCTTTATTATTATCTATATGGGCCTTGATTGCTTCTCATGTATCGCCTACAGGAGACTTAAATCCCTGCCTGCTAGTGTATGTGTGCATGTGTGTGTATAAATAGATAGATGTGTGTGTAGATAGATATGTGTGTGTGTGTATATGTATTTATATGTATGTATATATTTATATACTAGGAAATTGCCTGTCAAAAATGATGGGGGGTGGCCAGGGACAGTGACCTGTGTCCGGCCCCGCTCCACCCCACCCTTCAAGGCCGGGCCCTCTCCCCTCCGCCGCTTTGGGGCTGAGGCTGTGGCCAGGCTGGGCTGCCCCCTCTGTCTGCTGGCCCCGACACCCCATCGGCTCTGTCACTGCCACCTGTAAGGCCAGCAGAGCACGGCCAGCGGCGCTGGCCTTGCCACCCCTATCCTCTCCATTTTCGCGGCATGCAGGGAGCAGGGTGGACAGTGGCACTGCTGGCCCTGCTCCCTGCTCCATCCGCTCTGTTGCCGGCACCACCTGCAGGGTCAGGTGGCCGGGGCCAGTGGCACTGGCATTGGCACCAGAGGGGCAGGCCTGTCTGCTCCATTGCCTACATGGGGGGTGGGGACAGAGGCCCAGGCCCAGACTCACTCCCCCCACCCTC